CGATTTAATTAATAGATTAGTTCCTTTAAGAATTGTGTGCTCTGAATGGAATAATGTAAAATGAATTGTGGGAACTCAGTCTTTTAAAGAAATTTGCTAGAAATATTTTTTATTAGAGTCTACTTTTAATTTCTCTTTCTCTCTCTCTCTCTCTCATATAAATTGTCATGGGTAATCATGTCCACTGTATAATGGTTTGCTATGACTTGATTAATATATAATATTATTTATATTGTATATATAAAATATGGAACTTAATTCTGGGTTCCAGCACCAGGTTTTAATGAAGTCCTTGGCTGCTTTTGCAGCTTTTAAGTTGAAATGAACTTGTGGAATTAGATTTATGCAAAGAGATGTTTCTGTTACCTTTTTTTCTTTTGCGTTTGAAATTAATGTTGACTTATTTTAATATCTTCATAAAAATAGTTTGCAGCCTTTAACAATGAAATTTTAGCTGCAATTGAGCTAAAATAGAATACTTTGTTTAAATTAGTCTCTTGGTTTTGGGATGTATATTGATTAAGAGTCTTAAGTCTCCTTTCTTGGAAAAACGGGACGTAACTTTTATCACAAGCCTCATAGGATATGATTAGTTGCATGATTGAACAGAAGAGGACATAGAAACTTCTAGATATTGTGAAATCATATACTGTAGTAAGTTCTTTATTTTATAGCCCTTCAAAATTGTTTATATTTTCATTGTGAACATTTAACTAGACCTAAATATTTTGCAGGTTTTTTTTGTTTTGTTTTGCTTTTTTTAATCTCTAGTACAGGCAACACTGTGGACACTGACAAGCTAAATTCATGGTGAAAGAGTAACTGAATTAAACTATAATTTTAAAGAATAGATATGTAATAGACACATGTTAGTGTTTGATAATGTTTCTGTATGAGGAAGAAAAGCACTCAGAGCACTATTGTATCTTATTTACAAATATCTTGGGGGGAAAAGGACTTGGAAAGGTGCCTGTTTCTGTTTTCTTCTGATCTTGTCCCTCCCCCTAACCTAGTCATTACAAAGGATTAACCCACTGCCTAGTGTGTTTTTATAAGGCTGTTTCTAAGGATTTGTGTTAAACTTTTATTAAGAGCAACAGTGCATTTTGTTACAGGTTTTAGAGTCCTGTCATTTGTACCATATAAACAGTCAGATCTGTATCTAGATGGTGACGTTATTAACAACTGATATTAATTCCAGGTGTCCCCTGTGCCAAGCAGTGCTAAATGTGTGCATGATCTTAACTTAATCCTCAGAAAAAAACTGAAGAGCCATTATAATGGTAGTTTACTAGTAAGTAAACTAGGACTTGAAAAGGTTAAGTGATATACCCAAAACAGAGCTGGGTTAGAATAGATGGGTTTATTGTCCCTTGGATGCTGTTTTGCTTATAGCTACTGTCCTTGAAAGCCAAAAGTAAAATCATTGCCTGTCTTAATGCAGACACAACCTTCATCCTGCTCATCCTATTGCTGAAGGCACCCGTTTAAGGACAGTGGGAAGTACAAAATAGTTCAAGGTGCTCTTACCAAGGTCCTTGAGTAGAAAAATGGTAAAAGATCAGTGCCAGACTGGATAATCTTCTTTAGGGATGTGTTGTGGCATCATAACATGTAATAGACACATAACATCATTTTCATTAACATGTATAATATGCTGCTATGTGACCTAGGAATCATCTGTGATTTCTCTTTTGCCCGTATTTCAATCCACCTGCAGGTCCTGAAGGTTCTCTCTCCAAAACACATCCCTAATTTATCTACCTGTCTCCTCTTAAACTGTTAGAACTGTAGTGTAACACTGGTCTTGCTGTGATTTCTCTCAGCCTCTCCACTATTGTTCACCTGTAATCTACAGAGAGGGTAGAATAGCCAGTGATCTTTTTTAAAACCTAAAGGAAATCATTTTGCTTTCTTGTAACTGCTTCAATAGCTTTTCATTGCAATTTAGAGAAAGTCCAACTGCCTACCATCTATCATTGCTTATTGTGCTTCAGACATAGTGGCCTTCTTTATGTTTCTCATACTTAGCAAGTTCATTTCCATCTTGGATCTTGTACCTGCTGTTTTCTTTACCTGGGCTGTTCTGGTTATTGATCATCTTGTGGCTGACCTAGTATCATTTAGATCTCAGTTCAGATGTTAGCATCCCAGTATAGCATTCCTTGACTAATCTAGATACCCCCACCTCAACACTCTCTCATGTTATTGTGTTTTATTTTCTTTATAGTTCTCATCACCCTCTGAGTGTTACATTAATGAAATGTGATTTATTCCTTACATACCTATTTCTGCCCCCACAAGAATGTGAATTTGAGAGCAGGGCCTCCCTTGTGCCTAGAGTTGTGTACTTGGCTCATAGCAGCACAATTAAAAATTTATCGAATGAAAATTTTTATCTCACTTTAATATTATGTTGTGAATATTTCCCCAGTCTTAAATATTCAGGCACATGTAAACTCTTCATGCACAGTCCAGATCTGGCCTAAAGACACATTTTATTTGGCTTATTAAAAAGCATTGTCGTTTGAGGTATAACTTATATCCAGTCATGTGCACAAATCTTAAGTGTACAATTTGGTGAATTGTGCTAATGTGTATACCTTTGTAACCACCTCTCAGATCAAGATATAGAAGGCTCTCTCACCTCCCCCACTCAGCCACTCCCCCTTCCCACAGGATACTTGCATAGTTAATCTTTTAAATTAGCTTCTAACTTTAAAAATTGGGAGATGCCACATAAAAATCCAGAATTTCAACATTTCTTAAAAAGTAGAAACGTAGCAGCATAGGACCTTCTTTCTCTTTTGGCCACAGTTTATTGTAGCTGAGAAGCAGCTATCCAAAGTGTTGGCATGTGTTCTCCAGTTTGCCTGCAGTGTTTACCTCTCTTCCTTCTATCCCTGACCTTGAAATCAATTTCCAGTTGCCATTTATTTCATTTGCATTTATTTCATTTATTTCATTTGTATTTTTTGTGGTGCAGAAATATTTCTATAAAAATGTGAAAACATGAATGGTAGACTAAAAAGGTTATGTTTCTTATACTTAGTCTGCTTCATGCATTTCTTGCCTTTTTTATATTTATATTTTATATTTATATTTGTTAGCCACCTTAATTCTACTTGGTTGTGTTTAAAGGTTCCACGGTGTCCTATTGCATAAATGTATCATTTACATAACTAATCTCCTACTGTGGAGCATATAAGTTATTTGTTTTTTTGATATTGTGAAGAACAATTTATACATGAATCTTTGTACAAATCATCACTTTATGAGGACAAAATTTTATAAACGGAATTTCAATTAAAATATTTTTAAAAAATTTTTGACCACATTGCCAAATTGCTTGGCAGTAGTATAAATTGATATAAACTTTCTG